GTAGGTTTCGTTTCGTTTCGGTAGATTTCGTTTCGTTTCGTTTCAGCAGATTTCGTTTCGTTTCAGTTCGTTTCGTTTCGTTTCATTTCTATTTCGTTTCGCACTTTACAGGTACCCATTGTGCACCTCCTATTTTACTTTTTGATCCGACACATATTTTGAGTTTCCCGGCCACAGGAAAACATGGACTTTTTCACCAGTTATAACCATATGGGAGGCGGGGGGTATCATTTAGTGAGCTCATCGCTCACAGTACCTCTAGTTGAATGTTGAATTTACTAAGTGGGACAGGTACAGTGTTATATTATTATGTATGTAACTCAATCCACTTGGACATAACGTGGAACTAACTCAGAAGGATTTGTAACGGATATTTGATATCCTCTTTACACTGCACATCAAAAGACTTTTAAAGATTTCTTTTTATTGTAATAATGCATTTTATTGAACTGAAGTAGATCTACACCACTGCAATCTCTGCACATTATGTACAAAGCACAATGATTATTTACACCTCTAGAATTTTCAATTTTAATTCGGTGGGGCGTCAGGCCAGTTGAGCACTAACTGCCACCGTGCGCCACAAATTGTGCCTCCGAAATCTCTTGATAGCGATTCCGCACGAAGCCCTCACGGGCTCCATGTGTCACTCACGACAAAGGCCCTTTTAGTAACTTTCCTTTGAAGAAGTGGGGTGGCCAAAATTTAATTTTACACTTTTCAAGTGTTTTTTCTAAGAGACTATAATTTTTTGGCTTAATTAGAAAAATGAGTAGAAATCTATTGGAAAAAAATATATATCGATACATTATATTAAACGAAAATCGAAAGTCTGAAATTATAAAAGATATAATATATTGTTTTCGATTTAATATTTTATTCTGAAACACAAGGGAGAGAATTTTTTGTTCACGCTGAAAAAAAATATCGGGTTCAGATCACATTCGACGGAAGTTTACAACAAGAACTCGCACGTTGGTTGTTGGAATTTGTTTAGTTTGGAATGTTCAAGAATATAGATGCTAAACATGAATTCGGATGGTACGCAAGTCTTACTGTCTGTCGAAGCAGAGCTTATGTGGAACGTCTGGTGAAATTAGGGATCAAGATCTGGAGTGGAAAGAGTAAGTTGAAAACAACCAGCGTTGTCATAGACGCCGATCATATTTTTTTGTTCTCACTAAATCAGTATATTTTGTAGTACCGGTTTTGAATCCAGTTTTTGTGGTTTTAAGGCCAAGGGCCCATTTATCCTTTGCATTTTGGAAAAATATTAACATTTGGTCAATATGGAAAGAATATCATACTAATCATTTTCCCAAATTACTATGCCCCAACAGTTTATTTTTGTTCTTTAGACCCTAATTCTTTTTTTAAAATACTTTCACACAATTCCTAAGTATTTTATGCAAAATTAATAGATTTTAAACTCTATTCCTGAAATACATGTTACAGTGTTTGGACATTTATTACCCAATACGTTTAATTTTGTTTTTATTGTCTTCTGGAATTTTCTTTAGTTTATGAAATTTGGGGAAAATCATAGTTCATACATTGTATTTACCATTGGGAATTGAACAGATACAGCCACCTACAATCCCTTAAAACTGGAATCTTAGGCTTTAAGCCACATCCTGTTTGGTAACATTTCTTTTTTTCTGAAACATTTTGCACTGTTCTCTTTTCTTGGAACGGATGTGTGTGATCCAGGAGATTGCACTGTGACATGGATTCTTTAGTAAACATGCATCCCCTCTTAGCTTAAGGTCAGTAAGATTCCTCAAAACTGAAAATTTTTACACTGATGTTAATACAAAACTGAAATATCATATAATTTTAGTTCGACAAACCCATAGAGATTATCATTTTTGGTGATCATATGATTAATAAAACTTCATTTGCCGCTTGGTGACATAAGATTATCAGCATTCTGAATATTGTATATCTTACAGATGGGGTAGACAACATGAAAACATGGAAAAACTGAACATGCAGGCAATAGTCAATGCAACAGCTCAGGAAGATGAATTCATCAAGGATTTTCTTATCTCTTGTGGCAAAGTAATTAGTCAGGCATTATGTTTACATCAAGAACCCTAAACCATGCAGTATGAATTTTAAACTGGAAAGTGTGAAAACTGAGTACATGTGTTATGCATTTATATGATTGTTACTGTTAATAACAAAACTATTTTAAAAATACAGTGTAAAAACTTCAAACAAATTCTGACCAAAACCCAAGAAAGTTGTATAAATTTCAAACCTTTTATGAATTATAGAAACTTAAACTCAGTTACAGTAGCTTTGCATGGCTTATCTTCTGTGCTATACATATTGAAATATGAACAGATAGATTAGCATATCAATTCATCAGATTGTAGCTGTTGATCACAAGCTTTAGATTAGAGTATCACCAAATAATCACATAAAGATGAAAGGAAATTTTATACCGTATGTCGGTAAAAATCACAAGTTTTTGCGATGGATATTTACATACAGAGAATGAAAAGAAAAATAAAAAAAATTTTCCATAATTTTTCCTCCGCTTGTTGATCTGGTATAGTTTGACTTTTGGCTGCCTCTCAATCTTTTAATATGAACATTTCTTTTTGTAGGTAGATGTAGTTGTCCATGATCTGATATTAACAGAGGTTTGGAAAGAAAAGATTTTCCCAGAGCTTGTTGACATGAACTTCAATCCAAAAGACAACATTCCCCCTATATATGGTGGTATGTCTAGCATGAAATTCTTTGTCAGCTTTGAGGAATACAATTTTTAAAGAATCTTGCTTTCTTTACATAAGAACTGGATTCTGACATGTTTAAGGATAATGGACAATATATCCTTCAATTTTAGGTTTTTAATTAAGGTTATCTTTATGAGCAAGAAAAACTTTCTTCAATTTTTTGTAGCTTTATCATGAAGCGACAGTTGTGAATCTGTTGGAGACTACTATGTTTTATCGTGAGACTTGTGAAGCGGCAGAAGATTGTATACCTGATCTGATAGACTACTGCTATAGAAGGCTAACACAGCTAGTGGCTAGGTATGTATTCCAGATAGATTACTGCTATAGAAGACTAACACAGTTAGTGGCTAGTTATGTATACCTGATATACAACTGTATAGAATACTAACACAACTAGTGGCTAGGTATGTATAGCTGAAAGACTACTGCTATAAAATCCTAACACAGCTATACAAAGCTAAACAGCCAGTGGCTAGGTATGTATACCATGTATACCTGATAGACTACTGCTGTAGAAGGCTAACACAGCTATACAAAGCTAAAACAGCTAGTGGCTAGGCATGTATACCTGATAGACAACTGCTACAGAAGACTAACACAGCTAGTGGCTAGGTCCGTATACCTGACAGACTACTGCTATAGAATACTAACACAACTAGTGGCTAGGTATGTATAGCTGAAAGACTACTGCTATAAAATCCTAACACAGCTATACAAAGCTAAACAGCCAGTGGCTAGGTATGTATACCATGTATACCTGATAGACTACTGCTGTAGAAGGCTAACACAGCTATACAAAGCTAAAACAGCTAGTGGCTAGGCATGTATACCTGATAGACAACTGCTACAGAAGACTAACACAGCTAGTGGCTAGGTATGTATACCTGATAGACAACTGCCATAGAAGGCTAACACAGCTAGTGGCTAGGTCTGTATACCTGATAGACAACTGCCATAGAAGGCTAACACAGCTAGTGGCTAGGTCTGTATACCTGACAGACTACTGCTATAGTAGGCTAAAACAGCTAGTGGCTAGGTCTGTATACCTGACAGACTACTGCCATAGAAGGCTAACACAGCTAGTGGCTAGGTATGTATACCTGATAGACAACTGCCATAGAAGGCTAACACAGCTAGTGGCTAGGTATGTATTCCAGATAGATTACTGCTATAGAAGACTAACACAGTTAGTGGCTAGTTATGTATACCTGATAGACAACTGCTATAGAATACTAACACAACTAGTGGCTAGGTATGTATAGCTGAAAGACTACTGCTATAAAATCCTAACACAGCTATACAAAGCTATACAGCCAGTGGCTAGGTATGTATACCATGTATACCTGATAGACTACTGCTGTAGAAGGCTAACACAGCTATACAAAGCTAAAACAGCTAGTGGCTAGGCATGTATACCTGATAGACAACTGCTACAGAAGACTAACACAGCTAGTGGCTAGGTCCGTATACCTGACAGACTACTGCTATAGAATACTAACACAACTAGTGGCTAGGTATGTATAGCTGAAAGACTACTGCTATAAAATCCTAACACAGCTATACAAAGCTAAACAGCCAGTGGCTAGGTATGTATACCATGTATACCTGATAGACTACTGCTGTAGAAGGCTAACACAACTATACAAAGCTAAAACAGCTAGTGGCTAGGCATGTATACCTGATAGACAACAGCTACAGAAGACTAACACAGCTAGTGGCTAGGTATGTATACCTGATAGACAACTGCCATAGAAGGCTAACACAGCTAGTGGCTAGGTCTGTATACCAGAGAGACAACTGCCATAGAAGGCTAACACAGCTAGTGGCTAGGTCTGTATACCTGACAGACTACTGCTATAGTAGGCTAAAACAGCTAGTGGCTAGGTCTGTATACCTGACAGACTACTGCCATAGAAGGCTAACACAGCTAGTGGCTAGGTCTGTATACCTGACAGACTACTGCCATAGAAGACTAACACAGCTAGTGGCTAGGTATGTATACCTGACAGACTACTGCCATAGAAGGCTAACACAGCTAGTGGCTAGGTCTGTATACCTGACAGACTACTGCTATAGAAGACTAACACAGCTAGTGGCTAGGTATGTATACCTGACAGACTACTGCCATAGAAGGCTAAAACAGCTAGTGGCTAGGTCTGTATACCTGACAGACTACTGCCATAGAAGGCTAACACAGCTAGTGGCTAGGTCTGTATACCTGACAGACTACTGCCATAGAAGGCTAACACAGCTAGTGGCTAGGTCTGTATACCTGACAGACTACTGCTATAGAAGGCTAACACAGCTAGTGGCTAGGTATGTATACCTGACAGACTACTGCCATAGAAGGCTAACACAGCTAGTGGCTAGGTCTGTATACCTGATAGACAACTGCCATAGAAGGCTAAAACAGCTAGTGGCTAGGTCTGTATACCTGACAGACTACTGCCATAGAAGACTAAAACAGCTAGTGGCTAGGTCTGTATACCTGACAGACTACTGCCATAGAAGGCTAACACAGCTAGTGGCTAGGTCTGTATACCTGACAGACTACTGCTATAGAAGGCTAACACAGCTAGTGGCTAGGTATGTATACCTGACAGACTACTGCCATAGAAGGCTAAAACAGCTAGTGGCTAGGTCTGTATACCTGACAGACAACTGCCATAGAAGGCTGAATCTAACTTTATCTTACCAATGTCTTTCTCAGTCTAACCTTCAGAAAGAAATTCATGTTCAACAGACCTAATGATAAATCTCTTCTTTTTTTTTTTCATTTTGTTTAGGTCTGAGAGTGTAGAAGATGATGAGGATGAACCTAATGACCCACACTATCAGCAGAAACTCACGGTGGTAATATGGAGGTAAGTCTTCAGAAACTCAATATTAATAAACTATGGAAGGGAATTACCGCCAAAAG